CGCGGGCCCGCGGCCCCGCCCTCCACATGGAAACAAACCCAGAGCTCACGGAGCAGGTTTATTGAACAACAGACTACACGTGTCAACAGCTGCCGAGCCGACCCGGAGGCGCGGAGCAGAGGCCCGGCTCAGGGGCTGGGACTCAGCCACTCGGACAGGTTGGAGACTTCCTGCAGCCACAGTGCGTCCTGCGAGAGGAAGCGGGGCTCGGAGTGAGGACGCCTCGGTAGCGGCCGGGTCCCCGTCCTCCCCTGCGCAGCCCTCGCCTCATTACCTCCGGGCCGTTCCCGGGGTCCGCCCTGCTTCCGCTGGGAGTCATGGAGGCCGCGGGGGGCTCCCCACGCCGCAGAGGAGCCTCTGACGGACTCGGGGCCCTGGCAGAGGGGAAAGCCCATGTTCCCTCCAGGACCTGATGGAGGCTGCCCTTCTTAAGCTTCTTGTTGGCTACTTGCCCGCTGGTCTCTAGGAGAAAACACACACTCATCCCTTGGGGGAAACCCGGCGGGAAGGGAGGCGCTGGGGCCAGCTCTCAGCTCTCCCACCTCAGAGCTGTTCCTTCAGTTCCTGTCCTGATCAAAACCCAGCAGCCCCAGGCCTTCAGGTACAGGCTGAGGCTGCAGAATGGTATCACGTCTCCATTCCGCCTCAGTTAAGCCTGAGAAGGGGCGTGTGGATTGTACCAAGCCCTCACTTGGGACTCGGACCCACTTGATCGCTGCACAGATTCTTCGTGGAGTTTGCACTTTCCAGCTCCTCCCTCCCTGCCAAGCTCTGATTCTCCTGCCCGAAATCTGACCTCACTTCTCTCAGTGTCTTGGGCAGTGCCAATAGGCAGCCTTCCTATTAATTGATTCACTTGTGCAAATTTAAAGCACTGTTTTGTCCGACAATGCATCCTCGTTAGAGACAGATGAGCCAGGTTGCCTGGGTTTGATTTCTGGCTCTGCCATTTCTTAGCTGTGTGACCTCGGGTAGGTTTATTAACACCTGGGCCTCCATTTCCTCATCTGTAAAATGAGAAAATAATAGTTCCTATACCTAGGTATTATTTTGAGAGAGCATTTATGCATTTTAAAAATTCAGAACAGTGCCTGGCACCTACATCATACAGGTTCAGGCACCAGTGTGTATGGTTATTTCCAGCCATTGACATGTATTCATCCCTGGCCCTGCAGTATGATCACCATCACATCACATACACTGACACCTCCCCATAACACGTCAAAGTTAAGGTGGTGTCTGTACCCAGGAGCAGCCTCCAAGAGCCCCAAACAGATCGGTAACCAAAACTAAGGAGTTATAGTATCAATACTAATAATCAAGAAAAGACATGAACAAACTGGATTCAGGGCCCCACCCCAACATGCACATCTATAACTACACAGGCTATGAGAACTTGCTAGTCCTATCATATCAGCTTTTGAGATGGAATGCCTTCTGCTGCCCCAGAACACCGTAGTAGTGGTGGGAGCCAACCAAATCCCAGACGGAAACTGCTATGGTGAAAGGTGCAGTTTGAAGGCCTTGAAGTTATGCTTTTTTACTTCCCAGCTTTGATCCAGAGCTGACTGAAAAGCTAAAACCTTACCTGCATGGAGCTCCGGGCTACTGTTCTCATGTGCACCCTCTGTGCTCTCTGTATCATTTTTCTCTGGGTCCAGTTGCTTAAAAAATCAGAAGTCCTGAGTTAGTTTGCCGAAGGCCCATGTGAGTCCTCCTACCCACCTCCAACTTCCAAGGTTTCCTTTTGCTAGAGCCTTTGCAGCTTCCGCCAGCATTTCCTCACTCCTCTGAACTCTGGTCACTCACTACTGTCTGCCCCACTTCTCAGGCTCTGTAGTAGCTACTGCATGCCCCTGTTCATTATTTCTATAGGTCGATGTCCATTTTTCTGTCATAAACTCCTTGAAAGGTAAGGTTCATCATGTTTACATTTCTTTATATCTAGCATAGTACCTTGCACAGGGTAAATACTCAAAAAATATGTCTGACCACAGGGCATGTTTTATAGTCCTCAGTAGCCTTTAAAAGCCCTGCCACATTTGGTTGAATTTGGACAGAGAAAGATACTAAGATCAAAACCCAATTCTAGCTCCTTGTTTTTCAAGAATACAAGTGTATAAAAATAGATATCCTCTTCAAAGTTTAAAATTTTTGCGCTTCAAAAGACACTACAGAAAGTGCAACGTCAACATAAGAATGGAAAAAATATTTGCAAATTATATCTGATAAGGAATTTGTGTCAAGAATAAAGAACTATAACTCGGCAATAAAACAACAAATAATCCAATTAAAAATGGTTTGACAAAGGAAATGAATGACATTTCTCCAGAGATACATATGCCCAATATGCACATGAAAAGATGATTAACATCATTAGTCATTATAGAAATGTAAATCAAAACCACTATTAGATACTTTATAACCATTATAATGATGATGATAATAGTAGGCAATAACAAGTATTGGTGAGGATATGGAAAAACTGTAACCATTATATAGTATTGTTGGGAAAGTAAAATGATGCAGCCGGTTTGGAAAATAGTTTGGAAGTTCCTCAAAAAGTTAGATACAGAGTTATGACCCAGCAATTTTACTAGATATATACCCAAGAGAATTACAAACATATCCACACAGAAAATGTTCATAGCAGCATTATTCATAATAGCCAAAAAGTGGGAATAACACAAATGTTCACCAACTGATAAAGGGAGGAATAAAATGTCGCACTTATCCACGGCTTCATTTTCTGTGGTTTCAGTTACCCATGGGCAACCTCAGTCCAAAAATATTAAATGGAAAATTCCATAAATAAGCAATTCATAAATTTTAAATTGCACACCATTCTGAGTAGTGTGATGAAATCTCATGTTGTCCCACTCCATCCCACTTAAGATATGAACCCTCCCTTTGTCCAGCATATCCACACTGTAGACACTCCCTGCCTGTTAATAGCCATCTTGGTTATCAGATTGACTGTTGGTGTATCACAGTGCTTGTGTAAAAACATTAATTCATTTAAATGAAAAGGTATGCATGCATAGGGAAAAACATAGTATATATAGGGTTTGGTACTATTCCCGGTTTCATGCACCCACTGGGAGTCTTGGAATGTATCCCCTGCAGATAAGGGGGGACTACTATACATCCATACAATGAAATAATATCTATATATATAAAAGCCTAAGTGGCCATTTGACCGTTCCACGGGTAGGTATGATGTGCACTGACGACCAGGGGGCAGACGCTCTTACTGGTAGGTTAGCTTGCTGCTGGGATCCAGCCAATTGGGGCTGGGCAAGAGGGGCCGAACATGCCCTGGATGAATCCAGGCCAGGGGACCCCACTGGTGCAAGAATCCATGCACTGGGCCTCTTGTCCAACCAATCACAAAAAGGAATGAAGTACTGTTGCATGTTATAACATGGATGAATCTTAAAAACATTATGCTAAGTGAAAGAAGCCAGATAAAAAAGGCTACTTACTGTATGTTCCATTTATATAAAATGCCCAGTATAGGCAATTCCATAGTGATGGAAAGTAGAATAGTGGTTACCAAGGAATGGGAGTAGGAGAATTTGGTACTGGCTGCAAATCAGGTACAGGCTTTCTTTTTGGCATGATGGAGATATTCTTGAATTTAGTGGTGATGGTTGCACAAATAGTAAATATACTTAAAACCACTGAATTGTACAATTTAAAATGGTAAAATTTGTGGAACATGAATTATAACGGAATAAAAATAAATATATCATACTGTTTACTAAAATAGGTTTCCATTTCTAAGTAATTATATTCCAGGGAACATAGAAGGGGTAAAGATGGCCCCAAAGATGTGAAAAAAGAAATAGCATTAGGAAAATTTCCAAACATTTCCCCCCTCCACCTAGTTCCCATCCCCCACATTTTTTCTTCTTTGAGATAAAGCTTATTTTTATTTCACTCTAGCTTAGAAAAATCTCATATAATAGATAAACCTCCTATCTTGATATTGTTCTACAAGGAAATACCCACATTCAGTTATAAAGCACTGAGGCTCAGAGGAGCCTTGTGTACCCTTCATCAGCAGGTTCCCCAGATAAGATGGACCTAGCTATCCTTGGATACACGTCCTTGGATTTAACACTCTGAGACATTTAGTTTTGCTCTCCCCTCCACCCCACCCCAGATTACAATACTCTTCCTTAGAAAGCTGCCTTCCTGTTATTGATTCTACTTGAGTTTCAGTTTTCAGCTCCTACATACATCTGTGACACGAAGCCCTGGAGTACTGTCTTACTGACTGCTTCACAGCCCACTGTCTGCTGTTTCAATACCCAAGCTGGAAATCTCCATTCCTGGCATAACCTTTCCCTGAACATAGTCTATAAAACTCTAAAAATATATTCTCTCATTTCTTCCACCCTCCATAAGCTATATAATGGCCATAGATGGTGTTATTCTTTACCACTCCAGAGGTCAGCACTTCTACTTTACCCGTTTAGAAATGGAAACTGAGGGAATGGTTGGTCTAGAGCAGTGGTTCTCAACCTTCCTAATGCCGCGACCCTTTCATACAGTTCCTCATGTTGTGGTGACCCCCAACCATAAAATTATTTTCGTTGCTTCTTCATAACTGTAATTTTGCTACTGTTATGAATCGTAATGTAAGTATCTGATATGCAGGATGTATTTTCATTGTTACAAATTGAACATAAGTAAAGCATAGTGATTAATCACAAAAATAATATGTATTATATATTTGTTTTCCGATGGCCTTAGTCGACCCCTGTGAAAGGGTCATTGGACTCCCAAAGGGGTCGCGACCCACAGGTTGGGAACCACTGGTTTAGAGGTAAAAGAATTTGACCTATTGTCATTGATCTTGTAATTTTTAGCTAAGCCACTGGGTGCCACTCTTGTGCCATTAAAAAGTTATCACTAGCCCTAGCTGGTTTGGTTCAGTGGATAGAGAGTTGGCCTGCAGACTGAAGGGTCCCAGGTTCGATTCCAGTCAAGGGCATGTACCCAGGTTGCAGGCATTGGTCAAGGCTCATGTGGGAGGCAACCAGTCGATGTGTCTCTCTCATATCCATGTTTCTGTCTCTCCTCCTTTCTTCTACTCTCTAAAAATCAATGGAAAAATATCCTCTGGTGAGGATTAACAACATTAACAACCACAGAAGTTATCACTAAGTGGCCATTATCAGAGGAAAACAGTAACAATCTTTAGTGGAGAAGCATGAATTCTACTCAGTGCCTCTAATTACTCATCTTCCCTGGGCTTCTGATCCAGTCCTATGAGGTAACAATGTTACTAAGCTTCAGAGCCAGGAGACCTCTGTACAAATCCAACCCTTGCCATTTACTAACTGTGATTCTGGGAAAATCAGAAAATTTCTCTAACCATTTTCATCTATAAAATGGAAAAACCACAATCTACCTCACAGGATCTTTATGGAAATTCAAGTGTAAATCCTGGCACAGAATCATGAACCTGAGGTTCACTAGCCATCTGCCAAGTTAGTTGGGCTATGAATGGCCCTGAATCTATGAGTCATCACTATAGCAACAGGATGGGACCAAAGAGGTCAGATTATTTCCTTTTGAGATCTCACTAGGACATAGGAGAGGCCCAAGCAAAAGGATGTCATAGCCTTAAATACTTCTAGGTCCTGCCCATCTATCCCAGGTGCTATGATAATACTACATGCCTTAGCCTGACCTATCCCTAGAAATCTGAAGATATGGATGGCTATATTAAATTGAATAGTGGCCCATCAAAAGATATCTCTAAGTCTTACCGCCACACACCACACACCCCCGCTCCTGCCTCCAACTAGTGAATATGACCTTATTTGTAAAAAGGGTCTTTGCAGATTAATTAAGGACCTCAAGATAAGACCATGGTGGAGTCAGAGTGGGCCTTAAATCCAGTGACAGGAAGTCAGAGGGGTATCTGCGAGACAAAAGGGAAAGGGCACGTGAAGATGGAGACAGATAATTGGGGTGATGAGCCAAAGATCATCTGGAGCCAACAGAAACTAGTAGGAGCTGGGAAGGATTCTCTCCTAGAGTGTTTGGAGGGGGGATGACCCTGCTAACACCTTGATTTCAGACTTCTGGACTCCAGAACTGAGATAATAAAGTTCTGTTGTTTTAAAAACACCAAGTTTATGGTAACTTGTTACAGCGACCATAGGAAACTGATACAATGGACATTCACTTTTATTTGTTCAAGTTGTGAGAAGCAGCTTTCCAAGTTGGAGGGAAACCAGCAAGAGCATTTGCAGTGAACCAATGGAATGGAACAACTGATACATTCCTAGGAAGGTGCTTCCTAGAAGGTCCATATAGCCATGGAAACAGGTGTGGTAAAGGGAGCATTTACGGAGCTTTCATTGCTGTCCTCTGCCTTTCTAGCTACAAAGAAGAGGAGGGAAAATTAATGAGATGCTGTAATCCTTAGGTGACTGGGCATCTCAACTTCCTCATCCAATCAGGCAAACAGAAGTAGGAGAAGGAGAGAAGAGCAGAAGTGCTAAAGGTCCTGTTATTCTCTTAAAAACAGTGTCTGTAATTTTTAAAAACAAGTTTGAGACATACTAGTAACTTGCACACATACAACAAATATACAATAAAGTGTACAATTTGATAAGTTTTGACATATGTACATACTTGTGAAACCATCACCACAATCAAGGTAATGAACATAATCTCTCCTTCAAAAGTTTCTTCTGCCCTTAAAAATCACTCCCTCCAACTCCTATAGTTCCCATCTTTAAGCAACCACTGATCTGTAACTATAGCTTAGTTGGCATTTTATAGGATTTTACATAAAAACAATAGTATGTACTCTTGTATTTCTAGGTTTTAAAAAATTCAGTATGGCTATTTTATTTACTCATCTTACACTTTAGATCCATGCTATTTTGTGTATCACCAGTCCATTTCCTTCATTGCTGAGTAGTAGTCCCTTGAATTGATATACCACAATTGTTTATCCATTTACCTGTCGACACTGGGTTGTTTTGTTTCTGGCTATTAGAAATATGTCAGAGATGCCATGAACATTAATGTGTAAGTTTTTGTGTGGACATATGCTTTCATTTCTTTTCGGTAAATACCTAGGAGAATAGCTGGGTTGCATGTCAAACTGTTCTCAAAGTGGTTGTACCATTTTTAATTCCTACAAATAGGGTATATGAGTTCCAGGTCCTCACATCCTTGTCAACACCTGGTTTGGCAGCCTTTTTACTCCAGGTAGGTGTGAAATGGTATATTATTGAGGTTTTGATTTGTATTTCCCTAATGACTAATGACTAATGACGTTGAGCATCTTTCTCATATGTTTATTTGCAGTTTCTCTTGTTTTGTGAAATGTGTGTTCAAATCTTTTGCCCATTTAAAAAATTGGGTTGTTTTCTTATTAAGTTTTGAGAGTTTATAAATATTCTGAATACTGTGGTAATGTTTTGAACTACATAACATGTTCACTACTACTAATTATATTTTCTCTGTCAGTTCTGGAAAACTTCTAATTGAATAGTTGGTTGACCAACTGAGTTTTCTCTTCATTGTGGGCTGTATTTCCTGTTCCTTACCATGCCTGTTAATTTTTTTTATTGGATGCAAGGCACTGTGACTATTACCTTGATGGATGCTGGTATTTTTGTATTCCTATAAATATTTTTGAACTTTGTTCTGTGATGCCACCAAATTCCTTGGAAACACTTGATCTTTTTAGGTCTCGCTTCTGTTTTTAAGCTCTTTTAGGCAGGACCAGAGGAGTGTTTATCGTAGGTTTAACTTCCTCCATTCCTGAGACAAGACCTTTTTTAGGGTTCCACCTGATGCTCTATAAATTATAAGCTTTCCTCTCTGGTTTATGGGAATAGTAACTAGTCCTATCCCTGTGTGAGCTCTTCATATTGTTCCCTCTACTCCTTCTGGATGGTTCTTTACCTGGGTAGTTTCTCCACATGAATGAGCTGGTCAGTACTCAATTGAATACCAGAGGGGGAGCCTCTATATTTCTAGATCTCTCTCTCGGTGAAGCTCCCTCTTCTCTGGTACTCTGCCCTGAAAACTCTAGCTGCCTTGGCATCCTTGAATTCCCAACTCCATCTATTCAATTCAGGGAGATGACTGGATTCCCTCTCCCTGCTCCACGGCCTCCGTAGTTTCTGTAGGCAGTATGCTAGGACAATCACAGGGCTCACTGCATTTGCTTTTCATCTCTCAGGAATGACTAGCCCACTCATTGTCTGATACCCAGTATCTTAAAAACCACTGTTTCAGATACTGTGTCCAGAGTTTTTGCTATTTCAGGCAGGAGGGTAAATCTGGTCCCTGTTATTCCATCTTGGCCTGAAGTTACTGTATAATAATTTCACCCATAATATTTTTTATTTACTCATCTTATACTTTAGCTCCAGAAAATTCAAACCTACTGATTGGAGCCAGAGAGCTAGAAGAATGGACTTCAGTTGGAACACTACCACCAGCAATACCTGAAATTGAGATACAGAATTTCCTAGCTATAATTTCTCTTCACTCAATAGAGAAGCCTGTCACAAAACCAGGTGACCTTCTTGAGGGTAGGGACCCCAATGCAACACTCTATCTTCAGCATCCAAAAAGGTGAATAGATAACAGTATGTGTTTGATTAGGCAAAACTAAACATAAAAATTCTATCATATCACCATTATGATTAGCGATGTGCTTAGCAGTCTACATACATACATTATTTTACCCAAATCTCACAACAATCACTTTGGGCATGCATCAGGACACTTTACTGATAAAGAAACTGAGGTTTATAAAGGTTAAATAGGTTCCATAATAATACTACACAACTGGTCAGTGACAGAAACAGAAATCGAGCAATATCTAACCATGCTCTTAACCTCTATGTAATACTACATTCTATGAAGTTTTTCTAAGCCACAGGTTTCCTTGCTGAAAAGCTAACCTCAGATTATGTTATCTAAGGCACCTGTACCTATCCACCCTGTATACAGGGCTCTCATACATCGATATGGAACATTTCCACCAAAGAACTGATTATTATTTTATAATTACCTGCTTCACCTCACATGAGCAGTGGTGAAGAACTTGGTGCTGGGTGACTTCATAAAATGATTTGTGCAGTTTGGTCCCAAACTCCTGTGTGTCAGCTGCCTAAAATGAGTCAGAGATAGAATGTGTTAAGTTCCAGTATTGGCACTCAAAAAAGTACCCACAGGAAGTTTATATGAAAAGGGGACAAGACAAATAGGAAGGCAAACCACAGACACTGCTCACGTCATGTTAGGAGTTTTGTTAGTTCCTGTGGGCACAGGAGAAGTAGAAAGAAGGCCTGGAATACTTGGCATTAAACAGGTAGTAGTGGTTCCTATATTTCTTCCAATTTCTGTTACCTAAGCAAGATCTTTCAAACAAGGTCCTTTTTTCCCTCCTATCTCTATAAGACATAAATATCCCATGGATCCATCTGTTTGTGAATGGGTTTTGTAAACTGCTTTCCTCTAAAAGAAGTTCCAAGACAGCAAAAGTTCCACTGAACAACTAAGGCTGGTATAAGAACTTTTCCTTGGGTAAGTCTTTTAGGGAGGAAATAAAATAATACAGTTTGCATTAAGGAATGGGTAACAGCCTCTACCTTTTAGTATAAAAAACTGTAGGATGTCAGAAGTAAAGGGGACCAGAATAATCACCTAATGCAACATACGAGATGTACATATGAGAAAACAGAAATTCAAAAAGCGGTGAGCAACCCAAGATCTCACATCTAGTTAGTACCAAAGTTAGGGATGACATAAGATGGCCAGTAGAGTGTTCTTTTCACTCGCCCCCCTATACTGTCCACATGACCCAGAAAGTTTAAATTAGCATAAAATGTACTAGATTATAAAATTATTAAAATTATTACACTCTTTGACCTAGCATCTCCACTTGCAGAAATTTATTCTAGGAAATAATTCAAAAGAAGCAAGACAGCTACAGTTACAAACAATAACACATTATTTAAAAACAAAAAGCTTTAAGCTTTGGTCTCTTAATGTGGTTGTTTTTTCCTTGAAAAGGGGGCAGTATGAAGTAAGAAATGTGTTACCAAAAGTACACAGGATGAAGGAATTCAGAAAGTAGAAGATATTATCTAAAGCACTATTTATACTGGCAAAAGGAATGTAAACAACTTAAATGTTTATCCTTAGGGGAATGTTTTATTAAATTAGGTTAAACTGACATAGTGGAATACTAGGTAACAATACAAATTCTAAGACAGCTGAAACAGGGAAAAGTCAAGTTATTTATGAATACAGAACACTTTGGTTACAGCTATGTAATATATGAGATAATATGCCAAAATGTTAAATTAGAGTGATAAAGTTTGTAAGTTATTATTTAAAATGTAATGTGTAGCCCAGACAGTGTGGCTCAGTGATTGAGTGTCGACCTATGAATCACAAGGTCATGTTCAATTCCTGGTCAGGGCACATGCCTGGGTTGCAGGCTCAATCCCCAGTGAGGGGTGTGCAGGAGGCAGCTGATCAATGATTCTCTCTGATCATTGATGTTTTTATCTCTCCCTCTCTCTTCCTCTCTGAAATCAATAAACATATCCTATATAATAAAAGGGTAATATGCAAATTAACCCTAATAGCAGAACAACTGGGAATGACTGGTCACTATGACACACAATGACCACCAAGGGGCAGACGCTCAATGCAGGAGCTGCCACCCGGTGGTCAGTGCGCTCCGACAGGGAGAGCTCTGCTCAGCCACAAATCAGGCTGACAGCTGACAGCCCAGCGGTAGTGGCGGGAGCCTATCCTGCCTCCTCAGCAGTGCTAAGGATGTCTGACTGTAGCTTAGGCCTGCTCCCCGCTGGCAAGTGGACATCCCCCGAGGGCTCCTGGGCTGCCAGAGGGATGTCTGACTGCCAGCTTAGGACCAATCCCCCCGGGGAGCGGGCCTAAGCCAGCAGGTGGACATCCCCCGAGAGGTCCCAGATTGCGAGAGGGCACAGGCCGGGCTGAGGGACCCCCCAGAGTGCACAAATTTTTGTGCACTGGGCCTCTAGTATTAAAATAAAATAAAATGTAATGTGTATATTATTTCCAAAAAAAAGTTTAAGAAATAAAGCCACAGATATGGAATAAATGTGTTATCCCCATTAATAATACCAAATGGTTAGCACACATTCCCAAAAGGAAGGAAAGAAACTAGCATCTATTGAGAACCTACCATATGTTATGCACTTTCCCATCCAAGTACTAACCAGGCCCGACCCTGCTTAGCTTCCGAGATCAGACGAGCTCGGGTGCGTTCAGGGTGGTATGGCCGTAGACATGTTATGCACTTTCACATTTAGCCCTCACCCTCATAATCACTCTCTGAGGTACTATTAATTTTTCCAATTTATAGATGAAGCTCAGAGAAATTAAGTACAGGCCTAAATCCACATAGCTAGTAAGTAGATAAGCCAAGATTTGAACGTAGGCCTCTGATTCCAAAACTTGTTATATACCATTCCATACTGCCAGATAAATGTCATACTGATGGCTGCTCAGTTATTTTCAATGTATCCTGTCACCATGAGGTAATAGAACATTCTTCAACAAGGAATTGAGAATCACTGATCTAACCCTAGCTCTGCTCATAAATAGTAGTGTGACCTAAAGGAAGTAGAAATTTTAAATAACTTGTTTTCTCATTTATAAAATAGTATACACACCACAATCCATTCCACAAATATTCAGCCTTATTTTGGTAATCTTCACCTGAGAATATTTTTCCCATTGACTTTTAGAGAGAGTGGAAAGAAGAGGGGGAGAGGGCAAGAGAGGGACGGAGGGAGGGAGGGAGAGAGAGAGGGAGAGAGAGAAACATTGATGTGAGAGAGACACATTGATTGGTTGCCTCCTTCATGCACCACACCAGCCAGGGCTCCACAAATATTTCTTAAAACACTCACCACAGGTGGCTCTGTTGGTTGGAGCATCATTCCCAACACCAAAAGGTTGTGGGCTGCATTCCCGGTTAGGGTACATTCCTAAGTTGCAGGTTCTATCCCTGGTCAGGGCGTGTACAGGAGGCAACCAATTGATGTTTCTCTCTCACATTGAGAGATCTCTCTCTCTCTCTCTCTCTCTCTCTCTCTCACTCTCTCTTTCTCTCTTTCTCTCTCAGCACTTACCACAGGCCTGGTACTATATAGGATCACAATAGGATCTAATTCAATAATATTCCTAAAAGCACTGTACATATTACTAAGACAGGCATAATGTCATCAAAACCCTGGCACTTTAAAGCATCCCCAGTCTCCTACTAACTTGAAGAGCCTGAAGGCAGATCTTTCTGAAGCTGCAGCTGGTGCTGCCAGTCACAATACTCATGATGGAATTCACAGCCACAGAGAGTGAGGTCTGGAGTTTCTGATGAACCTAGGAAACATAACAAGTAAGGGGAGACCACAATCTGCTGGTTCAGAGAATCCCAAAGGGACCAAAGATTTCAGTCAGAACGAGATTTCACAATTCTTCCCCCTCCATCAACAATAGTTACTGAAACCATGACATATAAAGGACACTTAGGATTGAAATAAGTAAAAAATGTTTTCTCATTTCACAGGGATGATTCATTGACACACACACATTCAGAAAAGACGAGCAATAAGACACTGGGTCATTAAATAGATACGCTTCCAATTTAAAAATGAAAAGCATTAAGCTTTGGTTTCTTAGTGTGGTTGTTTTGGCCATATAAAAGAAGAAATATGTTACCAAAAGTACACAGGATGAAGGAATTCAGAAAGTAAGGTAAGAGAAAGTGGTGTTATAAGGGCTGGGAAATGGGAGCAGATGTAAGATCCATGGAGCAGTAGCTCCAGAAGGATGTGTGGGGAAGGGAGATGTGGGGAAGGCAGGGGTGCATTATGACTCACTTTTCTCTATTATTTCACCCGTTTAATCGAACTTACCTACTGGGGGGTAAAGCTAAGCAAGCTAGTTACAGTGACCCATGTAAGTTCAAGCTTGAGTTCCTAGGCTAGATGCAGTGTACACGATCAGCTCAGGGGACAAAAGAGGAGAGGAAGAGGCATTAGGAAGGACAGGGTCTCAGGCCCTATCTACCAGATATTCTAGCTATCATTTTCATGGAGAGAGTATGAGAAAGAAAACTGTGAATTTCTCATTACCTTGGCAGCCTGGTGATGCTGCTCCAAGGCCTGGTCCACGGCAAACTGGATGGAATCTTGCACCGCACTGTGGCTCTCTTGGAGGATGGTACTGAGATGAGCTGTGAGCAAAGTGTGAATTCCTAAAGGAAGGAAGAATGTTCGTTGCCCTGAGTGAGCATGACCACCTCAAAGCTGTTGCTCATGTGCTAGTTCACTCCTACCCACAAATAATTACTTTTTTAGACGACACACCCCAACAAGGTACAAACTCACCCAATTTCCACTTACAAATGAAAGACAGCTCAGGAAAACTAAAGTGAACAGTGACATTTGGGGGTGGGAGGTGTACCCTGACAGGGAATCCAATCAGCAACTTTTCAGAGCACAGGATGATGCCCAACTAACTGAGCTACACCAGCCAGGGCTAACATTATTTTTGAAGAAACCAGTGTGGGGTCCTGTTTAAGTCCTATCAGAAACATAAATATATACCACATACTATAAGCAACGATACTAGTAACTCCAAAAGAGAGAGAACGCCTCCTGTAGTGTTTAACCCTACTGCACTCCTATCTGAGCATCGCCGTCATGGTGAGCCAATTATTGCCAGTGTGTTGCCAATCCTTTCAGATGTGCTGTGGTACAGAAAAAGTTAAAACTCACAACACTACTCTAAAAACTGCCGGTAAAAGGTCTTTTTAAATGGGAGACTATCTCTAATAAAGTAATCATAGGTACCACTGCTCAGCATCATTCAGAAAAGCTAGAATGTGAGAGTTGGGCGAAATATGTCATCAAACAATAGGCTAGCACTGATGATCCTGATGAAACAAAGCAAGACAAATTCCCCCTATAGGACACATGGAGAAAATGCTTCTTAATTAATCTTCCCTTTTTCAGTGTTTTTGTACTCTCCACTGGGTAGTCTGTTCAAATATTCAATAGTGAAACAGCTCATGGCTGGTTGGCTTTCTCAGGGTTGCATTAAGAATGCAAGGCAGCAGAACATTTTCTACCATGAGGCCATGTTGCTTTACTGAAAGGAAAAGTAATATGTGGTCTGCTCAAAAGGGGCCTGGAACTGAAATCAGGGGAACATAGATTCTGGGGTCATTTCCACTACCAACTAATAGTGACAAATCACTTTTCTCACTTAAATACAGAAAATGGCTTTATATCACCTGTTCTCACAGGTATTTTGTGCAGATAAACTGGGATAACGTAAATGAAATGTTTTAAAATGTACATTGTAATATTCAAAGGGAAAATACTGCTATTGCTATGATGTCATTTGAATTACTATTTTCTACAGTTTGATTCTAAGAATAGCCTCAAGAAATCAGCTAGAAACCTTTTAAAAGCAGATATTTAATTAAAAAGCTACAAGTTTCTTCCTAAAACTGTAGATACTAACAGATGCCTTTAACGTTGTGGCAAAATAACAAGTTAATCATAGAAAAGTTACCATGACAAGGTGGGCAGAAGGCCAATTAAGTGGTTTTTTAAGACACTGGAAGCAGACTGTAGTTCTACACAATCTGTTTCCTAAAAGGAGCTCTAGAGAAAGCTTTCAAGGGTATACGAAAAAAAGAGGGGGGAAAAAGAAAAATTATTATATCTATATCCATATATCTATACCTACTTACCCTCATAGTACATCTTCTTCAAAGGCTAGTCCTAAACTACCAGATGTGTAAGGAAAGTTTAAAAAATACTCTTTTTATTAATGCAGCAATTCATTTTCATTTAATCCAGTACTGAATACAACTACCTGAGATGCTGCAGGCCTTTAAAAGTCAAGCTAAACAGAGGTGTTTAAACTATCACAATACTACAAGATTGATAGGTGACACTGGCTTCTGAGGAATATGAGTTCATAGATATGTTCAATAGATTCAGAGCATGGTATCAGATTTTATTTTATGTTGTCTTAAAGAAGATTGAATATGGTGTTCCTGTTAGCAGATCTAAATAAAAAAGCCAAAATATCACAGATTTTTGTTGTTGTTAATATTCACCCAAGGATATTTTTTCTATTGATTTTTAGAGAGGCAGAGGGAGAAGGAGAGGGAGAGGGAGAGAGGGAGAAGGAGGGGAGGGGGAGAGAGAAATATCAATGATGAGATAAACATCAATTGGCTGCCTCCTGCACGCCCCCTATTGGGGATGGAACCCACAACGGGGGCTGGGAATCGAACCTTGACCTCCTGGTTCATAGGTCCACACTCAACCACTGAGCCACACTGGCATGTGATTGATTGGTTGCCTCTTGTACATGCCCCAATCAGGGCCAGGAATTGAGATTGCAATAGAGGTACGTGCTCTTGACCTGATGCAGGCCAATACTCTAACCCAGGGGTCCTCAAACTTTTTAACAGGGGGCCAGTTCACTGTCCCTCAGACCGTTGGAGGGCCAGACTATAGATTTTAAAAAAACTATGAACAAGCCGAAACCGGTTTGGCCAGTGGATCGTTTGAGGACCCCTGCAGTCTAACCACTCAGAAAACCAGCTAGGGCCAAAATATCACAAATTTTGTCTTAAGAGGGTCTTTAGACTTGAAAGGGCCTTGATATCACCTAGCCTAACAATCTTATGTTAAATAAAGGGTGGGGCAAATGTAGGATTATAGCTGTTCTTATGGAAAATAATATAATTGATAATACAAGAATAAACTGTGTTTCATATACTCAACTATAAACCTACTTTTGCCCTACCCTGTTTATGAAAAGGAGGATCAAGTGATTTATGTAACTTGCTTCCCAAAAATAATTGAGGAATTTCATTGCAGGACCAAAATTAAACTCAGGTCTCCTGATTGTACCCTGAAATCCTTTCCACAATACTAAACTGCTCCTCTTATCAGCCTCTACCATGTGAGCACAGCCAGATAACAACCCTAGGTGTCTTCACCTTTGACTTCCCTGCTAGAAGCCTCTTTAGTTTAGGTCTCTTCTATGTTCCCATTCCAGGCCCTTGATGAATAGGAATAGTGGGGCACCAAAGAACACCAGCTCCTCAAATAAAAAATTGCAAATCAGAGCCCAGGGAAGCAGTACTTGTCTTCTAAAGAATATACACATGTTGGGGAAAGATAGGAGTGGCATGGGTGGTAGGCAGCAGGAAGAATCCCACAGCTGACAATGGTTTGTTCATTACATAGCTGGTACCAGGCAACATGAGCTCTGCTGATCTGGGGTTGTTGGCTGTCTCATTTCTCCTATGACTCAGTGGGAGAAGGGCCACATCAATGCCCAAAGAACAGAATCCCAGGCAAAAGCATCAGTCCACAGAGAAAGAACACAGAGACACACCAGGAACACCAAAAGAAAGGTTATCAACCTTCCCCCAGAAGCTTATAAGCTCTACTTTTTGCTACTTCCTTCACAGTTTAGAAGGCACCGAGAAACACACTTACCTTCCAGGGGCTATTGGATTAAAATGTGTAAGCCAACTCCCACTCATACTCAGTGTTTTCAAACTTTACTATATTTAAGAATCACCTCAGAATCTTGTTAAAAATGCAAATTCTTGAATTGTACTAGATTTTTACATTATAGCAAAATAATGAGTTAATCCTTGGTACAGGAAGCTGACATTTTCAAATATTCCAGGTGAATCTGATGCATGTTTTTCATTGACCACAAAACAATGAAATCACTGCTTAACCTCTAACAGAGAGAACCTTTCTGAAAACAGGTTATCACCCATCTATGAGATAAGCACCCAAGGCTCCCCCTTGTATGCCTAAAGAAGGACAATTTCTCCCTTTTCAGAGGTATATGTGGCAATCAGAAAGACAGAAACATCAATGTTGAGAGGGAATCATTGATCGGCTGCCTCCTGCATGCCCCTAACTGGGAATTAAGCCCGCAACTCGGGCATGTGCCCTGACCAAGAATTGAACCTGGACCTCCTGGTTCACGGGTTGATGCTCAACCACTGAGCCACATTGGCTGGGGTAAAGCCTTTTCTTTATTCTCTTAACATGTAAGCACACCCATGCTGGCAGCCCAATTCTCTTATACCTACCGCAGAGTTCCATTTGCTGGACTGGACCCTGACTGTGGAAATCCACAAAGAGAATGAGCAGCAGAGTTTGCCCCTGAAGGTCCGTATTTTGAGACTGATCTCCCTCGCTGGATCCCACCTGATAACTCAAATCTGGAAGCACCATATCTAGAGAACAAGATATTGCACAGTATTCTAAGATAAATAAAGCCCTCAAAATGCTAACTGAATAAAGAACCTATAACTCAAAAAGAGAGAAATCTGAGATAAATCTAAATTTGAACACTGCCTTCTCCTCCTGAATTTATTTCTCTATCCACAGGATGGAAGCAAATAAAGTGATTCTCAGGAAGAACATCAAAACAACTCGGCGTGCAAGATGCAAACCAAACAGCACTCCTTAGCATTTGCTGAGAAGCATGAAATAATAAACCCATGCATCCCTTATACAGCTTTCTAAGGTAGGTAGTAAGTGGCAGAGGTGAGAGTCAAGCCTGAGTAATGATAACAGCTAACTTGTATGGAATGCTTACTATATGCCATGTACAATATTAAATCCTTTACATGTACTATCTCAACATTTAGACTTCACAACACTATGGCATAGGACCTATTCTTATGCCTTTTTACAGATAAGAGGAGAGGCACAGAGAGGTTAAATATGTTGCCCAACATGAGAGAGTAAGTGGTAGAACTGTTTTAAACTGACTCCAAAATCTGTGTTTATAATCAGAATACTACGTGAATTCCCAAGTAATCTGATGCCCTGTGGTCACTTTCTAGCACCTTTATCCTTTAGATTACAATCAGGATAACCCTTAATTCCACCCAGATCCATACAGAAAAGTACCTCCATGGGATCCTGGTCTGTCCTTCAGAGTAAAGGAGGGGGTGGTGGGGATGAGACAAGGGGCATTTTCTACATTATTCATCTCCAAAATTAAATGAGAAAGTTTAGGCATCACAAATTGACAAAAAAATAAAGGAAATCAATAAAACATGAAAATAAAAATGAAAGAGAAAAGAAGATATGGAGAGCTCTAGAGATTTTAAAATCCTAATAACATGACATCCTGTTAAGACCAAACACTGTTTCTTCACAAAACCTCTTACCTCCAGAGACCCTGTCTAAGGACACCCTCCTTTCAATCCAACCTCTGGAATAACTACTACTTAAGAAAAAAGAGCTTACCCCAAGGCTTACTTCCTTGATGAAGATTCCATCATTCCCCTGAGACACTGCCCATCCCAGGAGGCTTCAACCTTCTCATGCCAGTCACACTCTACAATACCTCTTCCCTAATGGTCATCTTCCTCAGGATACAATTGACCAGATTACCTTCCAAATGTCAAAGGATTCTAGCTGCCCTAGCCGGTTTGGCTCAGTGGATAGAGCATCAGCCTGCGGACTCTAGGGTCCCAGGTTCGATTCCGGTCAAGGGCATGTACCTTGGTTGCGGGCACATCCCCAGTAGGGGGTGTGCAGGAGGCAGCTGATCGATGTTTCTCATTGATGTTTCTAACTCTCTATCCCTCTCCCTTCCTCTCTGTTAAAAATCAATAAAATATATTTTTAAAAAACAAAAGGATTCTAGCTAACAACAGTCAAGCTCAAGACTGTAAACTTCCTAGACATCAACTCATGGTTGTATATACCCATTTCCCAGTTTTATTTGTTAGTCTAGGTTTTAAGCATCCAACTTTCAACATGATTCACCCAAAACTAGAATTGGTTAGGCTCTACGTGAATATTCCCGCCAGGTTCCTAGCTTTATTACTATAAGGTTTATACTCCTGCCTTGTATTTATGTGGTGTTTTAATTTTTTTCTAAGTAATTATATGTGGGTTTTCTCATCTCATTCGGAAACATTTCTCTTCCACAAAGATGCAATTGCTCCTTACTTTTATAAAACCCCAGAACTGACAGATTAAGGTACAACAGAAACCCTCTGAACAAGTCCGTAGAAGATGAAGGCCACTGGCTACTCCGGGAAAAGAGGAGGCAAAAGAGGAAGTGAGAGAAGAACCAGCATCAATATGGAATGCAAAAATGGCTAAACTCTGATGGGGGCTTTGCCTCTTGACACCATTTGCCTCACTGCAAGTAGTCTCTCAGACTTACACCTGGTATTTGTTTCCTTGCATTTCTCTGATATTCTCCAGTTTTCTTGATTCCTGTGCAAAGAGAGGGAGATATACCTCTATCCAAATTGAGATCCAAACTGGGCACCACACACAAGTGGTACTTCTTCCAGTCAATGAAATAAGAGGTATCTTTGAAGACAGTAGTAATTGATTGTTCCTGGCTTGGCAATATCAGAGGCAGACCCGAAGGTCCATATAGAAATATGTATAGGTGCTAAAGAAAACTTCCAAATTTTAGTTTTTATATGTATTCATTTGCATAAAACAAACATATAACATTAACCTGGTTCACATTCCCAGAAATAAAGTAGTATGCTAGGCAATTACATATTAAGCCTTTTATACATTGAAGATAGGTGTCAGGTATCAGAGATAGATAGATCCACTAGAATCCTCAGAAATTTATTCTGGGTTTAATGAGTATGAGCTACAGGTATAGTATTAGGACAATTGGTTATTAATTCATCCTACTCATTCAATCATAGATTTGAGTGATATGTCAGGTTAAACACCATACTAAGTTTTGGGGATACAAAGATGAATATCCAGATTTAATATCTATCTTCAAGTTATCATATTTATAGTATAAGAGAAACATGTAAAACCAGTAAACTGTAATACAATGTGATATACACAAAGGAATATTTTCCAATAAGTTTTTGAGTATATTCAGATTGATAAGGAAACTCCTTCTCACCTTCTCTAATCCTATTCTCTAACTAAGACAAAGAAGGACAGGTCCCTGAAATGGTTTCTTTCTCACTCTCATCCTCTCTCCTACCCAGGGTTTCTCTATCTTAGCACTATTGATGCTTTAAGCCAAATAATTCTTTGTTGTGTGCGGCCGAAGAAGGGCTGTATTGTGCATTGTAGAATGTTTAGCCGCACCCCTGGCCTTTACCCCTCCCTCCATTCATGACAATAAAAAACGTCTCCAGAGCCCAGCTGGCGTGGCTCAGTGATTGAGCTCAACCTATGAAACAGGAGGTCACAGTTTGATTCCCAGTCACGGCATATGCCCAGATTGCAGGCTCAATCCCAACTGTGGGGCATGTAGGAGGTAGCCAATCA